TAGAATGAGAGGGAGAGAGGAGGAGAAAGTAAGGAAGGGAAGTCAGGTAGAAAAAGGAGGGGGAAAGAGAGGGAGAGAGTGAAGAAAAGGGAGAGAAGGAGAAGGTAAGAGGAAGAAAGAGAAAAGTCTAGAAGGAGGTATTAGTGAAAGGAGAAAACATGGGAGGAATAGGAGAGAGTTGTATGGGGAAAAAGGGAAGGAGGGAGAAAGTGAAGTTGGGAAGAAAAAGGGAGAAAGCAAGGAAGAGAAAAGGGGAGTGAGAGGGGGAAAGACAATGAAGGAGGCACTGAAGCAGAAAGGGGGAGCAGATAGGGAAAGTGGGAGGAAGCTAAGAGAGGAAGAAATAGTAAGATAGGGAGAGAAAGAAAGATTAAAAGAGGAAGGGAGAGGGAGAAGTGAGGGAGTGATAGGGGAAGAAAGGGAGAGAGAGGAAGGACATGATAGAAAGAGGAAGAGTATAGTAGAAGAGAGAGGGACAAAATGGGGGTAGAGAAAGGAAATGAGCACGAGGAAAGGGAGAGAGAGAAAATTGAGGGTGGAGGTGAAAATGAGGGAAAAGGGGAGGACTGTTGAAGAGAGAAGGGAAGAGAAAAGAAGCAAGAGGAAGAAAGAAGGGGTGGAAAAGACCCAGAAGGGATCAGGAGAAAGAATAAAACCAAAATGACTAACATTTATATAGTGCTTACATGTCCCAGACACTGTACTAAGTGCTTTACAAATATGATCTTTTTTGGATCTTATCTTTACAACAACCCTGGGATGTAGGTGCTATTATTACCCCATTTTACAGATGAGGAAACTGAGGCAAATAGAGGTTAAGTGATTTGTCCAGGATCACACAGCAGTAAGTGTCTGAGACTGGATTTGAACTCAGGTTTTACTGACTCCAGGCCCAGTCCTCCATCCACTGGATGTCCCTAGAAAGGGAGCAAATAGAGAGAAACCAGCTCTCCTCCCCCATGGGTCTCTGGGTGGAAAGTTAAGAGACAGAGAAAGTTAAGAAAACAGAGTGTGTAGGGAGGGGGTGTGTGGTGGCAGGCCGACACGGAAGTACATGGAATAATAAGAACCAAACTAGAAACCATAAAAAGAATGATCTGAAACTTAAATCAGAGAAGAGGAGAATCATGCAACTTTGGGCCAACTTTCCAATGAGCTGGCTGCTCCCAGCCCCCAGCCCTGCCAGGCACCCTGGAGTGAAGGGCAGGCAGAGGGCCTCCCTCCCTGGTGCTCCCCTCCCTCCCCTCCCCTGAATCCCCACTTCACTCTGCAAACACTCCTTTTGGCCTGCTGTTGGCTGGGATGCCCCCGGTTTTTCTTTGCGGTGAGCAGTGTGAGTTTATGGTGCCTGCTGCTCAGATTGGGCTGGGGCTGAGGGGCCAGGGGCAGTGGGGGCAAGGAGTGGGAGGGGCAGCAGGCACAGGTGGAAGGGCTACTTACACTTGACCTGCAGGATCTGGTCACTGAGGTTGGCTTGTAGATAGAATGTGCTATAAGGAGGCAAGACCAGCCCAAGGCTGGGGGAGACAGAGAAAAGAGGGGAGAGTCACTCACAGCGGAAAGTCCTAAGAGACCCCATGCTACTCTGTCGTCCCCTATCTGGGCACTGCCTTGAGGAGGGGGCTCTGGGCTGGGCCAGGATGTCTAATCCAGTTTGTAGCTCCTCACCCTTCTCTGAAATACTTCTTCCCTGGATGGCATCTGGTCCTTCTCTCTGAGGCTAGGACGGTAGGAGCGTGGCCCACCTGGGGATAGGCCAGCTGCAGCCCTAGAAATCCCTGGGAACTGGCCCAGGCTCGTCCCCACCCCCAACTCAGCCCTGGATTCTGGGACTCTCTTTTCCCATCGGTGGCCTTGCCTTGGAGCTCTCTAAGCAACCCTCTGGAGCACTACCTCTAATGAGTGATCAGCCCACTGGGACTCCAGGCCTCCTCCCTTGGGTCCTGAAGCAAGGTGGGAGGGAGGCCCCTCCCCTTCTAGCCTGCTCTGGTAGAAACTTGCAGCAGGCTTTGAGAAGACACTTCAAGCCATCTGCTGGTGCCTTCTCCATCTGTGTAGCAGCACATTCACCAGAAAAGCAGAGCGAATGCTTATCAAGGAGCTAGATGATCACAGGTGTGATGTTGGAGGTGGGAGAGATAATATTGCTTGACAGTTGTTGGACCGCCACAACAACCTGCCATTCGGGGTGTCAGACCTGTGTGATGTGACTGCACGGTCTGATACTGCAAGTGTGTGTGTGTGTGTGTGTGTGTGTGTGACCGTCTGGGCTGCTGCTCAGGGTGGGATGGTGCAGGCTCATAGGCCAGCCAGGACTGACTGAGTGGAAGTAATTTCTAGCGTACAATAACGTGGTTTATATTGGGGGGTAGTGACAGATAAAGCCTGTGGGTTAGGTTATTGGTTGCTGGGATGGGACAAGAATAAATACTTAAAGTTTTGCAGATTGCCTTCTTTGATCACAACAAGGTAGGCAGTATAAGAATGAATTATCCCAATTTTATAAAGAGAAGTTAAGTGACTTGCCCCGACTCCTTAAGTTCAGTGCTCCATCTCCTATGGCACATTGCCTCTCAACAATAGTAAGGTGGCTAGGCGGTATTGGGTGGGGTGATCTGATATCTGAGGTGGGATAATATGACTTGGTATTTAGGTGGAAAAAGGCAGCTTGGTATGTGGGGTGGGCTCATGCAGCCTGATAACATGGGAGTGACACACGGCCAGCAGATCCTTATTATGTGTTGATGTAGTCTTCTATATGGGGTGTGTTACACACCTAAGATAATACAGCTTGATAACTGAGGTGTGGTCACAGTAGATATGTGATAATTTGGCTTGAAATGGGGACATGGAAATAGTCTGATATCTGGTTGACAACTAGTCTTAAGGGTGTGATGGAGATGGTTTGAGGTATGGGATATGAAAATATAGCCTAATATTTGGGGTGTGAAAGCAAAGTCTGTGGGGCTGCCTGTCACTCAGCACGGGTCATGGAAGGCCAGCCTCACCTGCCTGCCAGCTCAGCCTTGCTTGGCCCGTTTCCACTCATCCCAGAGATTGGATGTCAGGCAGAGGCCAGAAGTTTCTTTTTCTGGATCACGCTAGGTATTGTGTGTGTGTGTGTGTGTGTGTGTGTGTGTGTGTGTGTGTGTGTGTTCAAGGGTGGGGTAGGCTTATTGGCCTGAGGTAAGAAATGTTCTCAGCGGGAATAGGAGCTTTGTGAAAGCTGTGGACAGTGGGAGGGGGGAGGAGGTGAGGACTGGTCAAGACCAGGTGGAAGGATCACCAACCAAAGGGAACTGAAGAGATTGGAGGAAGAACCCAGCTCCTCTCATATGATCTCATACTCTAGGGCTGGAAGAATATCTCTTCATACATATCCCATCCCTACCTGTCCCCTGAATCCCACCTTTGGGGCTCTTCTCACCTGTAGTTGGTACTTTTGATCGGGACCCAGGTGTAGTTTCGAATTACTTCATCAATGTACCTCTGGAAGGGAAGAGCATGTGGTCAAGGGTACAGGCAGGCAGGTAGGCAAATGAAGCCTCTTCTCTCTCCCCCACCCCATTTTTTTTTTTAGGCAATTGGGGTTAAGTGACTTGCCCAGGGTCACACAACTAGTAAGTGTCAAGTGTTTGGTTTGAGGCCTGATTTGAACTCAGGTCACCCTGACTTCAGGGCCTGTGCTTTATCCACTGCGCCACCTAGCTGCCCCTCACCCCATGTTTCTTCTCCCCTTTCCTGCCACCCCTGCCCCATCATCCTTCCTTCCCCCCATCACTCCCCTTCCTCCCCTGCCCCATCATCCTTCCCCCATCACCCCTTTCTTCCTCCACCCCATCATCCCTTCTTCCCCCCCAATTTCACCTCATCCAGGGATTTGATGAGAGTCTTGATTTGTTTATGCCCTCTTTTCCCATCAATCATGCTCTTTCGGATCTAAGGAGTGTAGATAGCAGAGTGTGAGAACAAGGCCAGGGGTATGGGTGATTGGGCAGATCAGGATTGCTGAGGAGAGTAGATTGGAGGACAAGAGGCTGTTTGCAGTGTAGGGGACTGGGTAGGACAGAGGATTGGGAGGAGTGGGAAGACTGACAGAGAAATGAAGGGACAGGAAAATAGTGGGATGTTACATAGGTAAAGTAGAGAGATGGGGAATGGAGAAGCTCAATTTGACTGGGGGATGGAGACAGGAGGTTGAGGATAAGTGGGATGAGGGGGCTGAGAATTGGCATACAAGTGACTATTAGAGAAAGGATGCGGGCAAAGAGGAAAGGGACAGCTGGAGCTTTGGGGGATAAGAATTAGGGAGAAGAGAAGGTGGGACAGAGGAAAAGAGAAAAGGGAAATGAGAGGAGTATTAGGAAAAGAGGTAACTGGGAGGCAGGTGCTGAGGGACAGTGGGGACGGGTAGGTGCTCTGGGGCCCACTGATGGTCCTTCTCTCACCTCCTCCTTGTTTTCATCTTCTAGTTCAGCATCTAGGAAATCTAAGGTCACTGGCTCCCGGAAATTGGTGATCTGAGGGAGAAGGTCACCACTCAGTAAGAATATCATGCCTCTCCTATTGTCCCAAGCATGCCTCCACCCCTGGGTAGCCAAAGAGGCTGTTTGCCAAGATCTAGGTATCACCCTTTCCCTAACATAGGGATGGTAGGGGGGTAGAAGGTTCTCTCTTACCTGGGGCTTCAGGTTAGGGTGGAGGAGGACATAGCCATTGAGGTCGATGGAGAATACATAACCATTTGCACCAAGCTGGAAATGGAAATTGGAGGATCATGTTTTGACCCTTGGCTCAAGGAAGGTGGTAGAAGAAGGAAAGAGAACATGGGGCTAGAACACGTTCTCTAGCCCAACTTGAGGTCCGATGCACTTACCGTGTAATTTGGCGTCAGCTTCTTGATATCATTCAGAGCCACATCGATGCCCATCACACCCAGGATGAGCTGGTTCTGGAGGCACAGATTTGCTGGGGTGAGAGGCCATGAATAGGAGCAGGGAACTGAAGCTGTGGGCATTCAGTCCACCTCTGTCTATCCCCTGATGCTTGGGAATTAGGACACTTGGGCCTCATGTCTGGCTTTGTGTCTGTCTCCCTCACCCACACCCATACTCATCCACAACTTGCCTCTTTCCCATCTCGAGTCTCTGACAACCCTATCCATAGGCACAGATCAGAACACTGGGGCCAACTTCAGCCCTCACACTTACCCACAGTGGCCCCTCCAACAGTCCTGAACACCTTCACTCACCAGGTACAGACATTCTCTTCCCTCCTCATCTCAGTTACACGGGCAGCTATCCATTCTATCTCTCTGCCCACACCACCACCCACTCTCCTCTCCCTACAGTTAGGCATGCATACCTATATATTACATACATCCCACTCTACCCAAACACATAGTGCATGTATATTCCTTGCCCTCACATGCTTACACAAGCTCACACACATATATGCTTCCACACACTTGCCTTCCTCTCCCCACTGCCATCCTGGGTCAGGTTGAACACAGGGAGGGTTCCAGTCACGACTAGCCCCAGGCCCTGTGAAATGGGACAGGATAATATGACATTTTGTGATCCTGCATCCTCAATGCCTACTCCCTACTGGGGAGCAGGTCTTGTCTGCCTACAGTCCCCCCGCTCTATGCTCAGGGCAGGGAAAGAGTTCTGGGGCCTTAGTACAGCTGAGCCCCATCACCCCTCTTCCCTGGAGCACCCTCGGGGTCTCTGCTTCCTTGCCATCAAAGACCACATCTCTGTGAGGTTGGCTCAGCCCTGATGAGGTGACAGGCATGGTGAGAGGCAAGCTTACCAGAGCATCTTCATACACATTGGTCCACTGCACCTGCTTGGCCTCATTGCCTGCGAGGACCATAGGCCTGCCCAGAACATCCAGGTACTCCTGTGAGGGAGGGGAAACATGAGGGTGGAAGGAATCGTAGGACTTGGAACTGGGAAGGACTCTAGAGGTCACCTAGTCCAACATCTTAATTTTATAGGTGAGGAAACTGAGGCTCAGAAGGACGCGTGACTTGTCCAAGGTTATGAGGCAAAAAGCAGCAGACTTGGTATTCAAATCGACTTAAAATCCAATTCTCTTTCCACTACATGTGCTTGGGCTCTCTGCTCTGATGGCAGGACCTTCCTCACCCCACAGAGGAGCTGTGGCCTGGACATTCATATCCAGGCCCTTGTCCACCTGTTTCTCTCTGAAGAGGCAGGGATCCCCAGCTATTGATCCTGGCACTCCTTGGGTGGAATGATCCACTCCAAGGAAAAGGACGGCTAGATCTGGGCACTTTCTCATAGTGACCAGCAGAGGGCACTCCCACCCCACGGTAAGTGGTTGAGTTAAATCAGCTGAGCCTGACTGAGACTTAGACCCTGAGGAGGGATTATTGACCTAGGACCAATGTGGGAGAGCTCAAGGTCGCTGAAGTGGGGATCTTTTGAAGAACTGGGTTCCAGGAAAGCAGGGAGCCTGGGCGCCCAGATCCCGTTGGGAGGGTTGTTGGGTTCTGGGATGGGTCTCTTTCCAGGTCTTTGCTTCTTTTGGAGTCGTTTGTTTTTGCTCCAGAGAGAGGATGGATGTGTCTTGGGGATGAGGTGGAGGGCTTGAGGCTCCTTACCTGTGTGTTGATTCGGATAGCCCCGATGGAGGGGATCTCAAAATAGTAACCTGTGGGGGTGAAGGGAAGTATGCTTTGAGTTGGGGTAAGGAAGAGGATGTTTCCTGATTTTTGTTGAGGGTCATTTGAAGGGCAGGTGGGTAGCTGGGGTGGGGCGTGTGTGCTGAAGGTGCTCTCTGGGAACTGAACCTATTGTGAGTGGGGAGGAAGGGGCAGTTTGGGTGGGGGTGGAGCATGCCTCAAGGATGGACCCCTCTCTGTCAATAGATAGACCGCTATAACCAAAAGCAGCTATACCCCTCAACTGCAGCTATGGACGAGACACAGCTGGGTCATACAGATAGGCAAATGGACACATGGAAAGAAATACAGATAGAAACAGAGTGCCTCCCCACACCCATATTGATCCTCCCCCCCCTGCCCCCCCGCTTTTATTGCAGGGCAAAACAAGGGACAATTGTGGGCTCATTAGAACATTTAGGATTTGAAAAGCCCTTAAAAATAATCGAGTGCAATCCTCTCACTTTATGGCTGAGGATACTAAGACCCAGGAAAGGGCAAGGACTTGCCCAGGGTCATACAGTAAGTGGCAGGGCTCAGATCTAAATCTGGTGTTTTTCCCAATACACCATGCTGCTGTACTGTGGGTCAGGTCAAGGCAGGACAAGGAGGGTACCTTTATTGGCACAGGCCATCCACTGCAGGGGAGTGACATCGTAGTTGTGTTGTCCGACAGAAAAGGTGAATACCCGAACCTGGGGACAATGCAGGGAGGCTTGAGGGAGTCTGACTCACTCCTAGCTTGGTCAGGGTTGAGACTCCTCCCATGGGGGGTGTAGGGAAGGCTAGTGGGAATGATTTCTCCCTTATACATACATATACATACTGTATACATGTATGTATGCATATTCATACCCATGCCCGAAGCCGTAGGACAAGAGAAAGCCAATTCTGAGACTAGAGTCAGAGGAGCTTGCAGGGAGGTCATTCAGGTGCTCTGAATTCCGTGGGCTCTTGGTAAATTATAGTTGAATGGAACTGACTTTGGGAATGTGGTTACCTGGCCATCTCGGCCGCCACCCCCCCCCCATTCCTCACCCTCAGGAGAGTGAGTGGGTGTGGTCCCCAGCATCCCCGACTGGGGACTTCTGTGTGCCTCACCGTCCTGTTGGGCCAGTTGTACTTCTCAAACACATCCTGCACTCGATCCTCTCCTCCGTCGGTGAACATCATGATCATTTTATTGCAGTTAGCTCGGGTGATGTTGGACTGGGCCAGCCAGTGGGAAGGAGAGGAGGTCAGTTGGGGAAGGCTCCCTCATAGCTGCAGGCAGAGCCCTTTGCCTCCCCGTCAGTCCTCCCCTACCCTCTTTTAGATACAACCAATAGGATTCTTTGGCAAGGGATTCCTCAGTATGAAAATCTTTCCCTTCTCCTAGAAGAATGATTTCAGGGACTGAGACACCTAAGGGCCACCCTGTCCCAACAGACAGCATCATTCTACTACCACTTTTGAATTATAAGTTATTCCCACCTTAATTCTTCCATCAAAATGAAACTTCTTCCACTGAAATCATCCACAAATGTCCTGGCCATGTTATTGCTCCTACTACAATGAATCACCAACTATGTCACCACCTAATTTCTCCCAGTAAAATGAGCCCCAGGCACTCCTTGTCTGTTTTTTTCCCCTCTCAACTCTGTCGGGATCAGCAATGAGATTTTCCTCCATTGCTTGGGTTACAAGTCTAGTTCTCAGACTCCAGCATCTCCCTGTCCCCCTCAATCTTCCCATCTTAAATTAACTCCTTGGGGATGGACAGGTGGCATCGAGGCCTGAATTCCTTCTCACCTTCCAGTCCCCTGAGGGAAGTGCCTAACCAGCTATTCACTGGGAGGAGAGATCTGGTTTCTGCCAGGTAGGTTTGGTGAGAAAGGGGCTATGGGTATGGTAACATTTCTTCTTATTCTCCCTCCACTCTAAGCCATGACCATTGGTGCTCATCCTTATAACAGGCCCATCCATTTTGATTTCCCTGGTGTCACCAGCTTGGCCCCAGAAGCAATGTTCCACACTCTTCCCTCACAGTAGCAGGGGTGTGAGTCCTAGGAATGGCCCCTTCATAGACAGAGAAAGGGCTCTGGGGAAAGGATGTCAATGACATCTTCCTTGAAGCAATGACTGCTTTCTTAGACTCTGCAGGCCCAGCTCCCTCCCCCTCTGCCCTTCCCACCCATCCCCAAACTCCCAACCCCAGGCAGTCAGCGTGGATGTGCCCTGGTGAGGGACTGAGTCTAGGATGGAGATGTCAGTTGTGGGCAGAATCTTCTCTTCCCCTGAGCTAAGCAGGACTCACATTCTGGAGCTGGTCAAAGGCATATTCAAAGCCAGCCTTGTAACCTGTGGTTCCTTTTGCCACCATGTTCTGCACAGCTTCCTTGAAAACCTTCTTGTTCCGCACGTTGGCCTGAACCAGGTGGTTGAAGCAGGACACAGGCTGGGCCTTCTCATTGAACTGGGGGAGCAGTGAGAGCAACATGAGGGTATCTGGAGGACACCAGGGAGGGAGAGCCCTCTGGAAGGGGCAGAGTTAGGAGAGGCCTGTGGGAATGCTCAGGATTGAGAAGAGGTTGAGAAGGCTGGAGGGTCAAGGGAGAGTTGGGTAGTTTTCCCATGAGAACATCTGAGTGGGAGTGGGGTTAGTAGAAAGGGAAATTAAGGGAAGTTGGTAGGAGAATGTCCCTCCTTCTCTTTATGTGCCCCTAAAACCTTGCTCTTCCCAAGCATGTGTATTCATTTATCCCAAATCCCTTCTCTCCCTTCCTGGCTGCTATAATTGGTACCACAGAGGACAACCCCTCCCCAAACCCCAAACAAACAAACCCCCAAAACAAAAAAAAAACCAAGGACATCTTCACTACCTGAGTTTTTAGGGTAGGAAGGAGTCCTTGAGGCTCTGAGAGCCCCTTGGCCAAAGGTGTTCTGTGTGATGTGTAGGTATTGTGGAGGAGCCAGTGACTGCCTGGTTTTAAGGGCCATGACTATGGCCGGCTTTGATTCAATGTCCTGACCCTTGGTCACTCTGATCCTGCCAAGGGGGCCTCTCTCTACCCAATAGTGGGTCCCCATTCCCAGGCTCAGGGCACTGACCGAGGCCACATTGACGTAGTCATCATCAGATAGGGTGTCCAGCATCTCGCAGACCGATGTCTTCATCAGCCTCAGTGTCAGGCCGCTCACACTGCCACTTCTAGGGGGCAAGGTATAGATATGACCCAGGGCACTCTTCCTCCTTCCCCCATTTTAGGGTTGGGCATCAGCTTCCAGGCAGGCACTGGGGTCAGGGATTTTGGACAAGGATGTGGGGACCTTGGGACTTAGGGAGGATCCCTAGAATGGCATTGATAGAATTGAGGGAGGACCATTAACTCAGTGGTTTACAGGATCCTAATGCCAGAGGGGCCCATGAGTTCTGGCTCTTCTCCAGAGGCTGGAGGTACCCTAGCTCCTGGAAAGGACTATTCCCTCACTGCTCACTCACACATCCACGATGATGACCATGTCCTTAGGAGAGGAAGCTCCTTGGATGTACCTGCCCAGGAGAGAGGCTGAGGTCAGGGCAGAGAGTCAGGGGATGTCTGGGTAGGGTTGGAAGAGGAATTATGGGCAGATTTGGGAAAGGATGATAGGAAGGAGATTCCAAAGGCTCTAGCCATCCCCTTTGTTTACCCACTTAGCTCTCTGCCTTACTTCAGCCTACAGTCTGGACTTAGAGCACCTACCTGGATTGAACAGTATCTTTCAGGAAAGCAGGGGGGCTTCCTCTGTCTCTGAAATCTTGGATTTATGCCTGTTACCCTACAGGACTTCTCCACTCTCTCTAACCCAAGCTCATCTTTCCCAGTGAGACTATTCCTTCTTCTGACTTTACTCTCTGCCACTATTCACCAAGTCTCCCACATTCAAAATCTTTGAGTTATCTTTGTATTTCCCTTCTCTCTCCCCTTTCGTAGCCAATTAGCTGCCAGCTTCTCCTAATTCTGCTTCCACTACATCTTGTGTTGCTTCTGTCCTCTCTAGTCCCATTGGCACCATGATGGTTCAAACGGTCCTCATTACCTGGACTACTGTAGTAGCCCCCCTAGAAGGTCTGCCTGCCTCTTCTCTCCAATTCATCCCTCATACCTTTGCCAGAATAATCTTTCTTACATGGAGATTTGATAGATCTATGCATAAAAAGATCTCTGGTCTTTTCAGCTGTATCTCATATCATACCCTTCAACATACTAGACAGGAGGGGTTCCTAACCTGCGGTCCATGAACTTTAAAAAAAAATTTGATAACTGTATTGCATTTCCTTGTAATTGGTTTCCTTTGTAATTCTATATATTTTATGCATTAACATTATTTTGAGAAGGGGTCCATAGGCTGCCCAAGGGGCAGAACCTTGGCTCTATGCTCAGACTAAACCTTCTCCATGCCCTCCTGGCACTGCAGGGTCTTCTTTGCACCTCTTTGCCTGGGATGTTACCTCTGTTTCCCTCTCACCTTCTGTTGAATTCCTAACTATTAAAGACCACCTCAGATACTACCACCTCCAGGAAGCCTTTCTTGATTCCCAATGGCAGTAATGGCCTCAAATATCATGTACCACTTGGTTTGTGCTTCTCTGATGTACTTATCATATAACACGGTGTATCATTGTAGTTCTGTCTTATCACTTTTTAAGACTCAGAGTTCCATAGGGCAGAGATGTCTTTTCCAAACTTTAGATCTCACTCAGCTTTCAGTGTAATACTTTGTACGTAGCAGTTGTTTAATAAATGTTTGTTGAATTGAACTGAATTGAAGATGCAGTCAGTGAGGGCAGGAGAGCCTGAAAAGGGGATAGGGAGAGATGACCAGAGACAAATCTAAAGGAATCATAGGATAGTGTTGGGAGAAAGGAGAAGGAGGAGGAGGAGGAGGAGGAGGAGGAGGAGGAGAAAGCAATAAAGAAGCAGTGAGGGAGAGAGAGAGAGAGAGAGAGAGAGAGAGAGAGAGAGAGAGAGAGAGAACAGACCAGACTTCAGGCTACCTGTGGCAGCATGGATTTCATGGGTCTCAGGAAGTCAGGGGGTGTGTATAAATTCAGGCTCTGGATGTTGCTCCAGCTTGATCTTTATATGGCCCCCAATCATTATAACAGTTTAACATTTTTATCAATGACTTGGATGAAGGCATAGATGGAATGCTTATGAAATTTGCAGATGATGAAAAGGTAGGGGGAAGAGCTAAATAATGGGTAACAGGATCTAGATCCAGAAAGATCTCATCATGCTAGAACAATGGGATAAATTAAATAGGATAAAAATTTAATAGAAATAAATGTAAAATTCTACATAGGTTCAAAAAATCAATCAACTATTGGGTGGGGAAGGTGTGGCTGGGCAACTTATTATTCTTGTGAAAAATGACTTAGGGTTTGAGTTATCAGAGTCACATGGTAACCAACAAGCTGCAGAGATCTTCCACGGCAGTAAGAGGCACACAGTGTGCTGAAGTAGCAAGAAGCTACTTCTGTAATTCTCTGTCCTGCTCAGACCACATCTGGAACACTGGATTTGGTGCTGGGGAGCACGTTTCAGGAAACACACATATAAGTTGGAGTATATCCAGAGGAGAACAATGAAGAGTATGAGGAATGAAGAAGGTTAATTGAAGGCACTGGGAAGACACATTTAGCCTCAATGTATGAGTGGGAGGCATTGATCTTGTCAAATATTTAAAGTGCTTTTATTTGGAGGAGAATGGGCTTGTTGCTTGGTCTCCCATTAGTATTAATTCACAGCATAGTATACTTAGTACCATTTCATAGATAAGGAAACTGAGGCTTAGAGAGGGTGATTTACCCAAGGTCACAGAACTCCAAAATAGCAGAGTTGGGTTTGAATTCAAGACCTCTCTACCACATCACAGCTACTGGCCCAAGGCCATGCATTGATAACTTTTTCTCCCCTCAATCTGCCTCATGAAAGATCCACAGTACCTTGGAACTCTTCTGTTTGGGTCCCTTAAGGCTCAAGGGACACTGGATTCCATCTCCATTCTCCTCCAGCCAATTCCTTTCCATCGGGGAAGAGTGAGCTCTATGACCCTCTCAAATTTCACTAGAGATACAGACACTGGTCACTCCACTCCTCTAATACCTTGAGGGTAGGGACTATTTTCCCCCCTTTATATCTTCCAGTGCCTAGCACAATATGTTATAATAGCTAACATTAATATGGCATTTTCAAGTTTGAAAAGTCTTTTACATATATCATCTCATTTGGTCTTCACAACAACTCTGTGAGGTAGGTGTTATTATAGTCCCCATTTTACAGATATGGACATTGATGCCCAGGCAAGTTAAGGGATTTGCCCAGGGTCACACAGCTGGTGAATATTTGAGGCAGATGCAAACAAAGGTTTTTCCTACTCCACTGCTTTATAGTAGGGATTGTATAAGTGTTTGTTGAATTGAATCTAATTAGCATCTTTTCCCATCACCATCCCAGAATGAAGGCTTTGCCGGAGATAAGACTAGGATAAGCCTTCTAGAGAACCGTGTGTGTGTGTGTGTGTGTGTGTGTGTGTGTGTGTGTGAGTGTGTGTGTGTGTGTGTATGTGTAGGGGCAGGAGGGTGGAGCTGTGGTTAGTCCCCAACCTTCCATCCTAAGTGCATTTTTTTTTTTTTTGCTTTTTTTTGGTGAGGCAATGGGGGTTAAGTGACTTGCTCAGGGTCACAGCTAGTTAAATGTCAAGTGTCTGAAGCCGGATTTGAACTCAGGTCCTCCTGACTCCAAAGCCAGAGCTCTATCCACTATGCCACCTGGCTGCCCCCATCTTAAGTGCTATTGAACGTAGAACAACCATCCTTGTGGCAGTTTGAATGGTTTGCTGGAGCTGTCCAGCTCCTGGGGAGGGGGAGATGTGCTCCCAGGGGTATGGGGTCTAGGGACCCTGGGGATGTGTATCTTCTCCAAAGGGTTGGGAGGTGGCAAGCTGCCTTGTCCTGGGGGACTGAGCCACTCAAGCCCTAAATTATTCAAATAAAAGAATAAATGTCTGCTTGCTAGGGTGCTGGGGATTCAAAGATGAGAAAGTGAGAGTCCTGTCTTCAGGAAACTTGTATTCATTTAACTGCTATGATCTAGCACTATATTTAGAGTCAGAAGCTCCAGTTATGAATTCTTTCTCAATTAATACCTATGTGATCTTGGGCAAGTCACAACCTATTGGGGCCTCAGTTTCCTCATCTGTAAAATGAAGAGGTTGGACTGGGTGATCTTTAAGGTCCATCCTAGCTTTCACGTGACCTTTATTCTATCAAAGAATAGCCTTTCTCTTACCATTAGTAGAAATGGTCAGGTAGTGTTAGTGTTTTTATAAATCAGGTTTTTATTGTAGATCTGGACCATAGGCATTGGGGGTGGGCATCCTGAGAAAATGGGGAAGTGGGCAAAGCTCAAACTGAACCCCGCAGTTGTTACATCAGCACAAGGATCACAAATTTAGAACTGGGAAAGGGCCTTCAGAAACAATCTGGGCCAACCTCTACATTTTGCAGATGGAGAAACTGAGTCTCAGAGAAGAAACCGGTCACACAGGTAGTAAGCAAAGGAGTTGCTCTCTGCCTCCAAGTTCAGTGTACCTACCGTCAAATCACATTGTTCCTACTTAGGGTTCTGCAAAGTCAACCTTTTTATGTTTGCTTCTCTCCAAGTCTCCTGGTAAACTCCTCTTGAGAATTTCTAGCCCTGTCTGGGCTGAACTAAGAAAGGGAAAGGAGTTGGTTCCTGTGGGGCCAGGACAGGGAAACTGAGTCTCTTTGGGTGACAGTTACATCAGGACCCACCTAGATCAGAAAGAAAGGGGTAAAATGTGGGACAAGATGGGAACAGCCATAAATGCTTATCTCCTGAGTCTGGGGCTTTTCCTCATACCTCTTTCCAGAGGCAGCAGGGCATGATGGATAGGGCATTGTCAGAGTTAGGAAGGCCTGGGTTCAAATCCTGCCTTAGACATTTACTAGCTGTGTGAGAAAAGTTACTAAAACCTTTCCATGCCTCAGTTTCCTCATATGTAAAATGTGGGGATTGGACTAAATCAAAGCTTCTTAACCTGGGGATAGATTTCAGGAGAAAAAAAATTACTTCTTTATTTTCATTAACCTCTAACTGAAATTGAGCATTTCCTTCCATTATGAATGTAAGCAGCAAATGCAATTCTGAGAAGTGGTCCACATGCTTCACTAGATTGCCAGAGGGGTCCATGACACAAAAGAGGTGAAGATTCTTTGACCTTAGATGGCAGCATGGTAGGGTGGGAAGGTTTTGGAATCAGGATTTGGAATCAGAAGACCTGGGTTCAAATCCTTGCTCAGTTGCCTCATCTGTAAAATAAAGGCTTGGATGAGATGTTCTCTAAAGTCCTTTCCAGATCTAAATTTATAATCATTTATTCCAACCCTCTTATTTTTCAGGTAGAGAAACTGAGGCTTTGGAGTGACTTGTTCAAGGTCATACAATGGGTTAATAGCAGACGTGAGACAAGGGCTTAGATGTGACT